AAATATTCTTCGTTCGCATGTTGACTTGACACGTTTATTAAGGAATAATAAAAAAAAACGTAACAAATTTTCAAAAATTTGTAGAGAGCTTCTTTTCTAAATAAAAAAAAAGAGATTAGAGGTAACATAAAAGAATATTATTAAAATTTATCCGAAAAATTAATACTCCCTCCATTCCTTGGCCTCCCTAAAAAATCAATCTTTAAAACCCATAAAGATAACTAAAGCAGTACAAAATTAATACACTGAGACGGAGAAAATATGAAAAATATATATACCTATGAGGAGGATAGATGACATGGCCAATCCTCGTCCCCCGGCCATGGAGAAGATGGAACCAGAAGAATTAGTTATATTATTAATCTATGCAGGTAGAACAACAAGAATCAAATCTATACATACATGTGTATGTATATGCACACATATACATACACCCGATTATAAGCATATACTAATACTCCGGGAAGTGCGCCTTGTCTTCTGTGCCTCAAGCATCAGTTTCTCACACTCTACAAACAAAGAAAACATATACGGAAGTATATATATATATATATATATATAATGCATGCATTATTGCTGTGTTCTGATTATCATTATTGTTATCATTGTTACGTAATTTACGTACGTAACTGCTGCTTTTTGTTTACGTAGCTACACATCCTTTACATGTGTGAGTTTGTCTTTTATATTAGGGGCCTTTTAGGAATAACATTTTCGATTCGCGATAGCGTTTTGAATAAAAAATTAATGGTGCAAATTAAATTTGAAAGCGCTTAACGCTGTCCGTAAATAGTTTTTTCAAAGGGAGAAAGACCAAAGTAGAACTAAAACATTAAAAATATACCAAAATAGGACTTTCATATTTTTCATCCCAAAATAGGACTTACATTACCATACATTGTCATATACATTACCAAAAAATATAGTAATTTGCACGTGTACAATGCCACATTACAACAGGGCAAAGTCACATTACCACAATGTAAAGTCCTATTTCGGGAAAAAAAAGATGAAAGTCCTATTTTATTACTTTTCTCTATGTTTTAGTCCTATTTAGGGCGATTTCTATTTTTCAAAATGTTAACACTAACCTCTGACGTTATTCACAAACAGGCTAAGCCCTATACTTCTCTTGAAAATGAATATCAGAGTTTGACCAAGTGTCAAACTGCAACATTCATTCAGCATAAATTAAATATAATTTTAAATATATAAATGTTATAAAAGATTGAGATATATTAAAACTATATTTTAAAATGAATACGATTATTATATTATACCGAAATATATTTCTTCACAATGTGCAATAAAAAAGTGTCACATTTTTCCGAAAAAAATCAAGCCGTGACATTTTTTCCGGACAGAAGTATTACGACATATATAGTTATGAGTTAGGTCGGATATGATAATAATATCCATCTATATCTTTGGTATCCGAATTTGATATTGAGCAATTTCATGATCTTATAGAAGAGAAATTTACCTAAATAGGACTAAAACATAATGACTTTCCCAATATAGGACCATTTGTTTTTATTTCCCAATGTAGGATTTTTGATCATTAACAAGTAGTCATTAATCAAGTAAATGTCTAGCATTACTGGACATTATTTCTCCCACGAGGTCATTATTTAGTCCTATTTAGGGAATAAAAAAGTTTAAATCCTACATTAGGAAAGTCATTATGCTTTAGTCCTATTTAGTGCAAATTTCACCTTAGAGAACTCAGTTCGATCAAGTGGTTCTCGCTCCCTAGAATCCAGTACGCCACAGTGGCGAAACATGGGTAAAGTACGGATTGGGTGTTTGTGGGGAGGGGTTAGGAGGATAAAAACTGTTTCAGAGTTAAAAATAGTATTGTAGCATTTTTAAATGACATGAGCGCCAATTATGATATAGAAATGTAACTAAACAAAACTAAAACATGAAATTTATTTTAAAATAAGATCTCATGTTTTTATACCGTAAATATGAGCATTGGCATTGTGAAATATCATAATTTGGCATTATATATTATAATTTTAGTGCTTTTTGGCATTATGTGTTACCATTATTTAATTTGGCAGTGCTAGTCATGTTTTGGTACAAAAATATTGAATATCATATTTTGATACTCTCCAATCTCATAAAAAAGTTTTACATTTCTTTTTTCGTCAATTCCAAAAAGGGTTCATGTTTCTATATTTGGAAACAATTTTGTGGCTATTATAATTATCTTTCCTCTACATCATTTTCAATAATTTTTTTTTAAATTTTCATGCCAAGTTGATGGTAGTATATAAAATACTCCGTACATTTTAGATTTTTTTAGTGTTATTAACTTCATTATAATATACTGTAATATTTATTGATATTTTTTTCAATCTAATGACGTAAAAAGAGCTAATGTCTCTGCCTTCGCTAGGGTTAAAACGAGAGTGTATTTTCTCGTAAATTCTGAAGAATAGAGTTCCTACCACTCAAGCCACGGGAATTGTAGGTAAAGTTTAATGTGTGTGTTTTTCCTTTTTTCCATGAAGGGATACCTTTAAAATTGCACAGTTTAAGTAAAGGAGAGGGGTCACCACCTATATAGTGCGCTACCAGAGGGGTGATTCATCTTTCATTAAAACAAAAAAAGCATTCAAAAAAGCACATTATTCGCACTTCACCATGTCCTCACAAATCATATTCATTGATTTATATTTAAGATTAACCCAAACCTCTTATTATTGATAAACATTTTGACTTATAAACTGGTATGTATCCAAGGTGCACTATAGAAACACTAAAAAATAAGTACTTAATATCTACTTATTTTTTTGACTTATAATCACACAGAAACATGTCATCATCAACTGACTTATAAGTTAAAAATTGTTTATAAGCAACTTTGACCAACTTATAAGCATAGAAAAACATCCACTATATATTCTTCTGTTTGAATATATTTGCCTCATTTTACTTTTGCGAATCAAACATAGATGAATTTTGAGCTTCAATCAAACATGATTTAATTTGTGTCTTCTTCACTTACTTGCGTGGAGGCTTAAAGAATAGGGCAGGACAAAGTGGGGCGGGGTGTTTGGCGAGGAGGCAAAAACTTTTCATAAAATAAAGTACATGTAATTTGATCCCACCACAAAAGCATTGCCTTTAATCCTTTGGGAGTACTATACATATACATATATACGTCCAATATCTAAGTGTGATATTTCTTGCATGTCTAGCCACCCTACAAATAAAGATATGATCCCTTTTATCAGTTACTCTACAAAAGAGAATGCATTATTTTCATCTTAACAACATAATGTCATCATCATGCAATCAACATGATTGCTTCTTTTGTTTATTCATGGCATCTTCCATCCCAATTTGATTATCTAGCTACCTCTTGAAATAACCTCATCTCATCATATTTGACTTGATTTAAAATTAAATTTATGTTTTGAGAAATTCACACATAGAAGCAGATGATTCGAGATTGTTACATCACCTACTCAGCAAATATAAAAAAATTTATAAGGCATAAAGAATAAAGAATAATATCAAATATGTATGCGTAGTTTAAGGAAATTATCTTAATCTACGAGGTCTACATATGGTCAGTAAGAACATGATGAGACCCACTTCTTAAAATTGATATGACAAAATCTCTAATAGAGTATATCTAATTCATATCATGTACAAATCTACATCAGTTATGACAAAATTCCTAATATAGTATATTTAATTCATATCATGTACAAAATTCCTAATATAGTATATCTAATTCATATCATGTGCAAATCCATTCATATCATGTACAAATCCACTTCGGTTATTCCAAGTAGATGTGCAGATGTAGGGTTAAATGAGGAAGAAATTAGCCTTGAGCAAATGAGGATATGTAAGTAAATGCAAAGCAAAAGAAAAGAAAATATGGTTGTGGGTCCAAAAAGGAATATATATGTTACTTTCTCATTTCATAGATCTTCACATTACGCATTATGAAGTTTGACTATCGAATGACATCGTGAATATTTCATTTTACATTTGGTAAAATAGATATGTTAAAAAATCTAATAAGAGCGGATGAAAATAGAAAGCATAATTTGCGAGATAGAAAGACAGAATATAAGTCTTTAAATAATGAACACATGACTTATGCACAAGTTGTGATTTGTTAAGATATGTTGCATTTTGGCACATAACATCGGACTATCCGAAATAGAAAATGGGTATGAAAAATATCAAAGTAAGAATGTTAATCTTTTAAGACATACTACATAAATTGGAGTGCACAATGTTATACTCTCACCGTCCCTAAAAACATTCTCTTTTTTTATTCATCCTAAAATATATTTCTCATTTTTATTAAAAATTTACTTTTACCTATTCTAATTCTTAAATTATCTATTACATCACATTTATTCACTATTAATATATCTATCAAATTTAATTTTTACACATCACATCCATAGATATTTTTTAGAAATTCAACACTAAAATACAATTCTCTAAATCTCTTAAAATCACAACATCCCATGTTTTTAGGGACGGAGGGAGTACTAAACAAAAAAGTGTCACACTGTTTCAGAATAACACTATCTTGTTTCAGAATGAATATTATGTTGATTCAAAATAAACATTTCCTGGATGTACCTAGCTTTAACTAATATTCCCTCCGTCCTAAATCTGATTACAAATTGGGATTTACGAAGTAAATTTCTCATTTTTTGAAATTATTTATTTACAAATTAGTATATCTATAAAAAAATAAAAACTATATACTCCGTACTTTGTATTAAAAAAATCCGTCAAAAATTCTACAAAACAAGAGGTGAAAAATGTTTTATTTTATTAAATAATCAATAAAAATATATAAATAAATAAAAACTACACGGAGAAGAGCACAAAATTATAATCAATGGGACAGAGGGAATATACAATGTAGGCTGTGTGCATTTTGGCGGTAGAATATGGGGAAATACAAAATTAGATACGCCAACTCAACGCACAGATCGTCAGTTGCGATTCGTATCATCATACGATCACCCAATCTGCAAATTTGATTCATATGATCATCCAATCCGAAAAAAAGGCATATATTCGCTCACTCTGGCGATTTGATTCGGCGGTTCTCAAGGTCGTCTGGTTCGATTCGGTTCCACATCGAGCGGCGCGTTGCAACTCCGCCGTCGCCGTCGGGAAAACCAGATGGCGGCGAGCTCAAAGGAGAAGATCGTTTCGGTGGTCATGGTGGGCGGGCCTACAAAAGGTATCACTATGACACGCCTGAAATCGTCACACCAACTCTGTCTTTTCTCTCTTAAAATAGCTAGTGGATCCCTGATTGTTTGAAGATGAAAATCCCTAGGTACTCGATTCAGGCCGCTATCTTTCAACACTCCGAAACCATTGTTCCCTTTAGCCGGCTTGCCTATGGTTCAGCATCATATTTCTGCTTGTAAAAGGGTATGCTTTATATATGATTCTAGGCTTAACAGTGTTAATCCATAGCACAAGAGAAGTAACATAGACCACATAATTCTTATCTTAATGTATAATCGGAATTTAATTCTGGGACTAGCCAAAGAGTATACCATAAAATGTGAAACGTTTTTGTGAGACGATTATGAACGATGGAGGCTTATAAGAAAATCAAAGTTTTATGTATGCGATGTCGAACTTGAAAAAAAATACCCAAGTTGGACATTGCATACATAAAAATTTAATTTTTTTATGAATCTTCATTGTCTCTAACTCAAGTTACTCCGTATAATGAAGGCTTAGTTGTTGTAGAGTGGTTTTTTAAAGATGTTGTAAAAGATGAAGAAAAGATCAATGTATATGTATTCTGCCCAATGTGTGCATCAGTGCATGTGATGCTTCTAAATGTGATTTGAATCATTTGAGTATGTTTTTCTCATGTTACTAGATACCCAACTTAGCAGGAGTATTTCTTATTGGATTTTATGAGGAGCGGGAATTCACACTATATGTGTCTTCAATTTCTACTGAGCTCAAAGTTCCTGTCAGGTGACTCCGTGACTAGGGCATAATACATACCCTTGATTCTTTCCAGGTCTTTTTTATTTCAACTTTTCCCATTATCATCAACGCCTTAATCCCAACTAGTTGGGGTTGGTGACATTAAATTTATAGTGCGAATTAATAGTATAAACTTCATTAACACTATAAACTCATGCAAAAGAACACAGTGGCAACATTTTACACTGGATGCCCTTCGTGTTGCAACTTGCAGGCTTTGCAGCGTTTATAAAAAAGAATAATGAGTTGAAAGTTCTAAAGCCCTCACTGTGATGGGTCATTTTCACATGCTTGGAAAATATTATGAGACTGCTATGAGTTGAAATACATGCTATTGTCATGTTCATCAGATTATTGATATTGCAGGACCAACATGCAACTCAGGGAACATGAAAAAAAATTAAACTTATTTCTTAATATCAAATTAAGATGGAATAAAGAAAAATGGCTCTTTAAACTATTTGTGCTTCTTTTGATAGTGAAGTAGTAGTTAGCCAATGCAACTCTGGACGCTCATCATGTGTCATTTGGAGACAGCCGCTCTATGGCTTAAACATAGTGGTCGGGCTGCGTACATCACCCCCTTACCCTATAATGGGCGGGAGCCTTTGAGGCACTGGGGTAATGTTGTTGTTGTTGTTTGTTAATCTCAAAGTAATGTGTGTATTCATTTTGTGTGTTAATCTTTAATTCCTGCCTGGGTAGATACTTGAGAGAAGAGAGGCCTCATGGTTCTGCTGGAGGATTCTACTACTTTAGAGATCAGATTATGGAAGACTCTCCTGTAAGTTTTTGGAAATATAGAATTTCACAACACATAATCTGTGTTAACTCCCATATCTGTTTTTATTACTCTTCTTACTCATTGTAATTTTCCTAGCTTCTTTTTTTTATTACATATGACAGTCCCATATATTTTTGCTGAACTGTGATGTATGCTGCAATTTCCCACTGACAGACATGCTTGGTATGCTTATGCATTCTTTACCTTTCATGTCCTAGCAAAATTGGAATCCATTAGTTTCTTGTTAAATTCTAATTCCATATCTTTTTCTATAAATGCTTAGTATATAAATTCACTTTTGTGTGCAGAGGCCCATATAAGGTATGCTGGGATGGGTACTTTGCTTGTTAGTAAGGTGAAGTTATGTACTCATAAGTCATGAACAAAATAATTTAATAGTGAACTTCAAGAGTTATGAACAGAATTTGTATAGTTTTCAGTTTGCTTCTTATTTTCATATGTATAGGTCTCTGCTGAATCTGCTAACCAGTTTGGTCAGTTGATTGCCGATCCAGTTACCAAAGAACTATTGCATTATACAGAGAAGCCTGAGACATTTGTATGACTATTACTGTTAAAAAATATTTTGTAATAATAGCCACTTTCTGTTTTTTTTCTCCTTTTTGCATGTTTGGATGGACACATTTTCTTTATGGCCCCTTACAACAAACTGCAGGTTAGTGACCTCATCAATTGTGGTGTTTATGTTTTTACACCAGAAATTTTTAGTGCTATCCAGAATGTATACACTCACAGGGAAGGTAGAGGTTTGCTGTATTTTATAATAGTTCCTATAAATTGGTTGATGATATTAATTTATATAGTTGATTATCGATAAACAAAGTACTAAGAGATACTCCTCAATAATTAGGAAAGTTCAACAGTTACTTCATTAATTGTGAGCATTTTCTCGTGTTAGTCTTCTTCTATGTCATTAATTGTGAACATTTTGCCGTGTTAGTCTTCTTTTATGTCATTTTCCCGTGTTAGTCTCCTTCTAGGTCATTATTATTTTGAAACATTACTACTTTTAATTCTTTGTTAGTGTATATGTATGATGGAAAGATGACTAACATTGGCAATGCTCACAATTAAAGTGGATTCCCAATGGAATTTGATATAGTAGAGGACTAAATGTGGAATATCCCCAAATATAGACGATCATTTGTGAAATTTACGCAATTACTAATAAACTCTATCGCAGGTACTCTACACCATCTCTCTAGCTTTGAAGCAATCCAGTCCGAAACAAGGTTGGGTACTTGTATTAGTTTTTTTTGGGTGGTTGAATAAACTTGTAAAGTTCTTTAGAGGATGATGATTTTATATCCATTTAAATGTACTTTTTCTTTTCCACAGGTCACTGCATAGAGATTTTGTTAAGATGGATCAAGATATCTTGTCACCTTTTGCTGGAATGCAGAAATTGTACACATATGAGACATTGGACTTCTGGGAACAGATCAAGACTCCAGGGTAGATTTATTTACTTATTCAGTTTGGTTTTCTGTTTTTGGGCTGTATTATTAAATATAGCTTAGACTGCCACAATAAATCTTCAACTTTCCAGGATGTCTTTGAAATGTTCTGCTTTGTATCTTAATCAATTCCATTACACCTCACCTGAACTCCTTGCCCGGGGAGATGGCACTGAGAGTGCTTCAATTGTTGGCGATGCTTATATTCACCCCTCTGCAAAAGTACATCCAACAGCAAAGGTAAACCATTTTTTTATTTTTATTTTAGAGCTAATTTGGTTAGTGTCTAGTGAGAGAACTCTTTTTGGATAGACTATTTGTGGAATTGTGAGCTTTACATTCACCCATCTGCAAAAAATTGTGACCCTACAATAAAGAATTGTGATGTCGACGATGAAGAGTGGCAGATAAAATTTATTTCACACATAAGCTAAATATGAATGAATGGACTCATCAATAAATATAACTATATAAGACAATCTTTATCTATTGAGACATGTTTTTGGGGTGAGTCGTGCCTAACCTTATTCCTAACAATCTTTGTTTTATCATCTCTTAGAAATTGTTCCAACAATCAACAGTGATGGACTCTTATGATAATAGACATTTTCTCTCAAAGTGAGAACACTAGTTGCAATTCTTGTTTGATTTGAACCTGCAATTGTTTTCTTGCTTCCAAATGAATAGATTGGACCAAATGTATCAGTATCTGCAAACGTTCGTGTATCTGCTGGGGCAAGGCTAATAAGTTGCATAATCTTAGATGACGTTGAAATCATGGTAAACATCTCAAAAACTGACGATGATGGTTATGCATTAAACATAGAACCTCATATTTTTAACCTTTTTTTTTTGCAATGACAGGATAATGCAGTTGTCATGCATGCTATTGTAGGATGGAAGTCATCCCTAGGAAAATGGTCCCGTGTTCAGGTGATTCTGCTACCATGCATTTGTTTTTTCACCTTCCGTCTTACTCTGTACTTTCTATGAAGTTTTGGGCAGAATGCATCAACGGTCTAAGTAAAACTGCCCATGTATTGCCCCAATAAATTTGCACTATTCGTGCTTCTTGGTCGTACTTGGTTTTCGTGTTTTTTTGTTTTGGTTTTATAGAGTGATTATTTTGTGGGTACAGGGAGATGGAGATAACAACTCAAAACTAGGAGTTACAATCCTTGGTACTTCACCCACCTTCTTCATAATCTTTCACTTGATACTCAACAAGGTTTATGATAGTTGTGTTTTTGTCATTTGCCAAATGATGCACAGGGGAAGGCGTGAGCGTTGAGGACGAGGTTGTGGTTGTAAACAGCATAGTTCTTCCACATAAGACGCTCAACGTAAGTGTTCGAGATGAAATTATACTATGATTTATTTGCATACAAATAAATCAGGTTGTGGTGAGATCGGTCCTGACTCGAAGAGCTTTTCATGTTGCATACAAATTTTGATAGTTGGTGAATTTTGTACTACTGTAATTGCTAAAACATTCTTATATTATAAACCCAACAAAAACTACACACATTTACTCAAAGTGTTCACTTTTCGTCTACAACAATCCAATATAATCTAAAGAAATTTGAGGTGAAGCCGCTCCAACACGCCCTGCAATTGAATCGGAGAAAAGGAAATAAAAAGAAAAGAGAGGAAAATGAAAGATTAAAGGAATTTATTGAATTGGAGAGATGGATTGTGCAAATTATATTAGAGTTGGCAAAAATTATTGACACAACATTGTTCTGAATCAAACCTGTATCATATCGAATCGAAAAATGAATTTTTAAATAGGACTCGCAAATAATATCCTGAATCAAACCTTATTTTCTCTTGCTTTTTGTTTTTTTTGTTTTTTGATATTTTTAGCTCTTGTTTCTTTGGTGATGTGACTTTAATCACTAGTAGGGCCTGTTTGGGAATAGTTTTTTGGATTAGCGTTTATGTTTTTGGATAAAAATTTAACGGTGCATATTAACTTTTAAAATGCAAATGCTAAACACTGTTCGTAGATAATTTTTTCAAAACAGTAATGCTAACCTCTAACCCTATTTTTAAACAGGGCCTTTGTATTCTTAATCATAATCTCGAAAAACTAGTTTTGTCAACCATTATAATAATAAGCATATGGCGTGTGTTCTAGAGTGTCACACCACATTAATACGGAATAGTTTTTAACGAATCGTTGTTGTGTTTCAGTGTTTGGCTTGGCAAAACCGTACTATTTTATAGGATCCTTCTTGCATTTGCCAATGGCACAACGAAAGATCTAGACAAATTCACATGTTAACATCAAAACGCCCTGAAACAATTACACTAATTCATATCAAAACACCTTGAAAATTGCCACAAATTTATAGTAGAGTTGAGTTATTGAGGATGAGTGGTAGTTGAGTAAAGTAAGGTGGGATTTGAGTTAGGCGCATGATTTTGTTTAGTAGTTGAGAAAAGTTAGGTTAGGTGCATGATTTGAGTTTAGTTAGGTGTAGTGGTTGAGAAAAGTTAGTTGAGTTAGCTGCAAGAGTAAATTTAAAACTAGATGTAAAAACTTAAAACTCTACAATATTTAAATTTAAAAAGTCTAAATAAATTACATGCGTAAAAAATTTAAAAATGTCTCAACTTTGTTTTAGTTCTATTTTAGTTGTTTTTTCCAAAAATATCATCCTAGTTTGACTCTTTTTACCTCTTTGAACTCAAATTAGATATAATGATAAATATACAAATGTTTATAGAATAATTAGAGGATCTAAATTAAATTTTGGCTAAAAGCTTATATTGATTAATAGAACAAAAAAGTTTAAAGAAAATGAATATAATATACATTGAATATTAAATTTGAGTTTAAAGTTTGGACCATGCTACATTTACACCAAAATTTGTATCCCAAACTTACACCAAAAGTATATATCAATATTTTGATGGGTCACACTAACACAAATTGTTGGTATTTAACAAAAATTTACACTAACACAAATTGTTGGTGACAAAAATTAGCATTACATTAACACAAAATATTGATACACATCTGTTGTGTACAAATGAAGTATGACTTTATACATAAAATTTTAAACAAATTGAATATAATAAAATAGCTGGACTTATTTTCAATTGGGCATCCGTAGGTATACATTTTACAGTAATTTTAAAGGTACAAGAAGTACGGTTCATCCTCTGAATTGGAACTCTGAAAAGCTTTCAACTGGTAGGAAATTAATTCCCGTTAGAGCGAGAGACCAAGGGTTGTAGTCCGTGACGTTTCCTATCATCGCCGGCCGACTACTCCTGGCGAGTGAAAGAGCGTGAAACATACCAACGGAGAGAGGACGACAATCGCTTCAATCCGACGTGCATCACTCATCCGATCACATCCGAAGCTCGATAGTCTCTCGGCTTTTGTAGGTATAAACTCTCACTCGCACTTTCATACCTTAACAGTTTGGATTCTGAGTTTTAGAAGTTTAATCGCCTATTTGTGAATCTCGATTTTGGAATATCAAATGGTTTCGGTTGACTGCTTCAGATCTGAGTTGATACCGTATCAGATTTCGATTTTGATCTGTTTTATTTGAGATCTGCCACTTGTGCTGTGTTAGAATGATCTATACTTATGCCTTGGTTTAAGTTGTAAATCTGGGCATAAAATTATGTGTTGGAGCTGGTAATTGCATTAATCCGTTAAGGCTTAGGAGTTGCATGTTAGATGAGCATGTTCATATGTTTGTTAGGACCAAATAGACTGTGTACATCTCTCCACTTCTCGTAATCTGTTCTGCCTAGAGCATGCCAAGGAAGATGGATTTAGTACCAAACAGTGAACACAACTACTCATTGGCCTTCTAATATTGTGATAATTAAACGAATCATGTTGCAGAAGTTCATTAGTGAAACTTGTGAGAGGACTTAGCTCGTCTGTTTCCAATTAAGAGACTTCTTTCAAGCTACAAAGAACGTTACATATTGTTGTATTAAAAACCCAAGATTAATGTGGTATACAAGCCACAGTTCCTCTAATTACAACATTTGAATCTATAACACATGAAATCTCCCCAAGCATTGCTGAGATGAGTGATGTCTTTCCTATTCCAGTACCACCAACTAAGCTACCAATTAGAATGTCCAAATTGATATCCTGACAAAATCGGTTTCTCTGCGGCCAATTCGAGAAAAACATAGTTTAGAATATCCAGCTCATGTGTAACTTCAACAACCATGAGCACATAAACTTCAACAACTATCAAGGTTAATTGAAACATACAATACAACACCTTGTGTAATACCCCGTATCAAGATGGGAATGGGAAGAGCTCAAAAGGATTGATAGTACTACTCATAGCAACAAGGTGCATCTTCTTTTCGAGAGCTCATCACCTAGAAACTCCAAGGTTAAGCGTGCTTGACATGGAGCAATTCTTGGATGGGTGACCCCCTGGGAAGTTTTTCTTGGGCGCGCACGAGTGAGGACAAAGTGTGCGGGAAAGACGTGTGTTGGTTTGTAGGGCAGTCTACAATCCTATGAGCAGACACTTACGGCCAGGGTGGGGGCCGGGGTGTTACAAATGGTATCAGAGCAACCCTGCAACCGTGACGGGCCAAAAGAGCTTAGTTCACCTAGCGGGGAAGATCTATGGGTTCAAAAAAAAAGGATGCAACGAGGACGTTGCATTCCTAAGTGGGGGTGAATGTAATACCCCGTATCAAGATGGGAATGGGAAGAGCTCAAAAGGATTGATAGTACTACTCATACCAACAAGGTGCATCTTCTTTTCGAGAGCCCATCACCTAGAAACTCCAAGGTTAAGCGTGCTTGACATGGAGCAATTCTTGGATGGGTGACCCCCTGGGAAGTGTTTCTTGGGCGCGCACGAGTGAGGACAAAGTGTGCGGGAAAGACGTGTGTTGGTTTGTGGGGCAGTCTACAATCCTATGAGCAGACACTTACGGCCAGGGTGGGGGCCGGGGTGTTACACCTTGTAATAGCATTCTATGAGCACATAAACATCAACAACCATCAAGATTAATGAAAACATACAATACAATACTTTGTAACTATCCCCTTATTCTAATCCCAATTTAGGAATACAAAATTTATACAAGCGAAGTACGCCATCTCATAATGTCATTTCCAAGAAACAAGCACTTTGACTTCCTCAGTGTCAAACCAAACCTTCTTATTAATCTTTTAAAATGAAAAATGTATCCTTTAAGGAGCAATTAATCAGAGAAGGGAGCAAACAGAGGCGGGTGGCTTTGAATGTATGTGTTGAGAATAGAAGGACAATCCATTAACATTTAAGTGTGGAGTGTACATTATTTTCTTTACTATTGTGGATTTATAAAATAGTAAATTTTTAAAAAAATCAGTTCAAATCTACAGAATTGAGTATCAAGAAGAAATCATTCTTTATAAGGTAATTCTAGGTATACATTGAAATACTAAATTATCTAGAAGTCTCACCCGAAATAATAAAACACTTGATTATAATCAAACAAACTTACTTTTGATTCCCACAAAAAGCTTTCATTCATAATCATTTACTAATATATAAACATAGCTAATCATACAATTTTTTTTAAAAGAAAATAATATCTAGAAAAGCTGCATGTTAACAAGATATGAAATTCTAGTAACAAGAAACCTTCATCTCTTGTATAACTTTACCACGGACCATTCTAAACTCTGTAAACAAACAAAAACAATAAAAGTAAATGTTAATATAACAAAATAAAACTAAATAGGAACACATTCAAAAAATTGAACTTACCATAAATGGTATATCTTTGTTTTCTATCTGTTCATAATTCTCAGGAAGCAAGTGGTATTCATCTAGGGATAGTTTCATTGACCAGGAAGATTGAATTCGAGGTCTTCCTGGGCTAGTATCTATAATCTCGTGCAGATGATAATTTTTTTTTGTCAATGTGCTTTCGGTTGTTGTTATATACATTTGTAATGGTTGAATTTTCACCCAAACACTAGAAAGAACATTGGATAAAACACAAAACTGGGTTCTATTTATAATTTGTTTGGTGGAATGCGGAAGCCAGTGATGAAAGAAGAAAAAGGGGAGATTGTTTCACATTGTAATACTATAATGTCTGCAAACAATGTTAAAAGGGTGGCACATAAAATCAAAAGGTCTGATGTTATGTGCATTAGTATCGAGCATCATATTATTAACATAACCTCTAAGAAGATGTAGAAGGTTTGTAGGACTTTGATCAAACGGAATCAGAAAAGGATATTCGTTGAAGTGAGGAATCTCATTAATATCTGGGGGATTGGAGGATTTGTAGGGAGGGGAAGATGTGGCATATACTCCATCTGACATTTTAGTGAAAAACAAAAAGCAAGCAAAATCAACAAATATAAAAAGAGATAACTTCAAATATATATTTCTAAACAATAAATACATTATCAATCTAGATCAAACTTGTGTTTGATAATGTGTTTATTGTTTAGAAATATATATTTGGAGTTATCTCTTATTATATATGTTGATTTTGTTTGTTTTTTATTTTTCACTAAAATGTCAGATGGAGTATATGACACATCTTCCCCTCCCTACAAATCCTCCAATCCCCCAGATATTAATGAGATTCCTCACTTCAACGAATATCCTTTTCTAATTCCGTTTGATCAACGTCCTACAAACCTTCTACATCTTCTTAGAGGTTATGTTAATAATTTGATGCTCGATGTTAATGCACATAACATCAGACCTTTTGATTTTACGCGCCACCCTCTTAGCACTGTTTGCAGAATTATAGTATTATTATGTCTGATCTGAAACAATCTCCCCTTTTTTCTTTCATCACTGGCTTCCGCATCCCACCAAATAAATTATAGATAGGACTCAGTTTTGTGTTTCATCCAATGTTCTTTCTAGTGTTTGGATGGAAAATTCAACCATTACAAATGTATATAACAATAACTGAATGCACATTGACACAAAAAAAATTATCATCTACACGAGATTATGGATACTAACCCAGGATGGCCTCGAGTTCAATCTTCCTGGTCAATGACACTATCCCTAGATAAATACCACTTGCTTTCTGAGGATTATGAACAGATGGAACACGACATTATGGTTAGTTTAGTTTTTTGAATATGTTTTTATTTAGTTTTATTTTATTATATTAATATTTACTTTTATTGTTTTTGTTTGTTTACAGAGTTCAGAATGATCCGTAGTGAAGTTATACAGGAGATGAAGGTTTCTTGTTACTAGAATTTTCTATCTCGTTAACGTGCAGCTTTTCTAGATATTATTTTCTTTTAAAAAAAATTGTATGATTAGCTATGCTTATATATTAGTAAATGATTATGAATGAAAGCTTTTTGTGGGAATCAAAAGTAAGTTTGTTTGATTATAATCAAGTGTTTTATTATTTCGGGTGAGACTTCTAGATAATTTAGTATTTCAATGTTTAGCTAGAATTACCTTACAAAGAATGATTTCTTCTTGATACTCAGTTCTGAAGATTTGAACTGATTTTTTTCAAAATTTACAATTTTATAAATCCACAATAGTAAAGAAAATAATGCACACTCCACACTTAAATGTTAATGGATTGTCCTTCCATTCTCAACACATACATTCAAAGCCACCCGCCTCTGTTTGCTCCTTCTCTGATTAATTTCTCCTTAAAGGATACATTTTTCATTTTAAAAGATTAATAAGAAGGTTTGGTTTGACACTAATGAAGTCGAAGTGCTTGTTTTTTGGAAATGACATTATGAGATGACGTACTTCGCTTGTATAAATTTTGTATTTCTAAATTAGGATTAGAATAAGGGGATAGTTACAAAGTATTGTATTGTATGTTTTCATTAATCTTGATGGTTGTTGATGTTTATGTGCTCATAGAATGCTATTACAAGGTGTTGTATTGTATGTTTCAATTAACCTTGATGGTTGTTGAAGTTACACATGAGCTGGATATTCTAAACTATGTTTTCTCTCAAATTGGCCGCAGAGAAACCAATTTTGCCAGGATATCAATTTGGACATTCTAATTGGTAGCTTAGTTGGTGGTACTGGAGTAGGAAAGACATCACTCATCTCAGCAATGTTTGGGGAGATTTCATCTGTTACAGATTCAAATGTTGTAATTAGAGGAACTGTGGCTTATATACCACATTAATCTTGGGTTTTTAATGCAACACTTTGTAACGTTCTTTGTGACGGGCTAAGTCCTCTCACAATTTTCACTAATGAACTTCTGTAACATGATTCGTTTAATTATCAAAATATGATTCTTATCTAGTCCTTGATGAAGTAACTGCGGCCGTTGATGTTAGAACACATGCACTGATACGGAAAACCATAAGAGAAGAATTTAAATCGTGCACAATGCTCGTTATTGCTCACTCTATGAATACAATCATCGATTGTGATTGAATTCTTCTGGTTGATTCTTGGCCAGGTAGGAAACAAAATAACTGTCCTACAAATATTTACTAGAGGGTTTGCTTTTCTTAACAATGCCTTCACTCTCTCTCATTAACTAGTGTTGTGGCTCATCATTGAAGTTAATACTGATTACAAATTTTTATTTTATTAGGGAGTAATTTTTAATGTTTGCATATGAAATTCTTTCTTTAAAGATGAAAAATAATTTGATATTTTATGAATGAAACAATAATAACTTCACCCATGTTTTTGCATCAGGTTTACATGAATATTGTTAATTAAATTCTCTATTCTTTGAAATACCCGAGTAAGGTGGATTTCCTTTGCGGAAAATTGATGAGTTTCAAAGTAGGATAAAAATGAAAACAAGTCGAGGAAAGAGAAAAAGAGTTGTGATAAAGGTGGAAATATTAGTTTGGTTGTGTGGCTTACTCTTCTTTAATGCTCCTTCTCTTCCATTTTAATCATGCATGTTACTGGTCAAAGCTGCTTATCTTTCATCCGTCAACATTTTTATAAAATACAACAGTCAAAAGGCATCTTGTTTTAACTGTAAAATTAAATTAAAATAACTTTAGTCCAACATCGTAACATGTGATGGGGAAGTTATAATGGGACCCGAGTCCAAGTAAGATACCTATTTGAGCAATTACTCCGCACATTGTGTTGGGAATTAGAGACAAATACATTAAAAAAACAAATGCAAAATGTCAATTTTTATTGATTACATTTTAAAAAAATTGGCATTTAAAAGTTGGATTATTTTTATGATTTACAAATAATCTTTAAAGTTGAATCATGCATTAAAGTTTCAATTCTAAGTTCATGTTCTCAGTACTTGGTATCTATGACTCTTCTTTAAAAAATCCCCGTTGATGCTCAGCTATGTGCTTCTCTTCTAGTGCTCCTCTCCCCGGCTGTCCAAAATCGTGTATATCACTGCACCACTGTAGCTGACATCTGGAATCTCTACTTCAGAGGTATAATTCACTATCCCGGACTCATATATTTCAACTCATATAATCTACAAAAAGGACAATCTAGCATGCAAAAATATCATGATGAACTGTTGCAAATTGTCAATTCTCTTGCCCTTGCTCGTGAACTTATCTGGGAACAAGATGTTATACTCTCTATCTTGCGTGGTCTCCCGTCTGAATATGCTTCTCTTAAACAAAATATTCAGACGAACATTGCTACGGTCACTCTTAACACTATTTCCGCCTGGCTTTCTTTGAAGAACTCATCAATATTCAGCTTGAACAGAAACTTCATCTTGGTACATCCTTTAGTTCTTCAACGGAGGTTCACACATCGCTTTATGCCTCCAATGGAGGCTCTTTTCCGCCACATGGGCGTGGCCGTGGACGGTCCGACAGTGGCAGAGGAGCAGGCCGCAACAGTGGTGGCAACCGCGTTCGGTTTCAGTCCGGCCATGTTGGAGGCCAAGGGCGAGGGCTGACCCGTGACGATCCAGTCATGTGTTAAATCTGTGGAAAATTCAAACATACTGCCTTGCGATGTTGGAATCAATTCAATGAAGATTTCTCTAGTTCCTTTCAGACTAACAACAGTAATCAAGTTTTTTATGCTGCATACTCTACTGGTCCTGGTCCGAATTGGCACTTAGACTCTGGAGCAATGACTCACGTGACTTCTGATTTATCAAGACTGCGGAATTCTCATCCCTATCAAGGCACCAATTTTGTCTCCACCGCTGGGGACAGTCTCTACCAATTGCTCATATTGGCTCAGGTCAGGTTACCACACCCACAGGTACCTTTACTATATTTAACCTACTCCATATCCCTACCTTAAACATCCATCTTTTGTCTACCACTGACAATAATTGTTTTATTCTGATAATTTGAGTTAGGCCACCCGAAGAGTTCATGAAATCTGGAGTCATCACCTTTATTCTGATAATTTTTCATATTAGATATGTTAATTTTATTTTCATTTTCAAACAAATCTACACCCTCTTTATAATTTGAACTTTTTCATGAACAAATGTGCATCCCATTTTAAAAAAATAATAGAGTAGATTGAAAACGAAATTTCAAAGTAGATTAAGAATCAAAGCAAAAAAACAACCAAAGTGCAATCCTAAATAATAAATATACCTTCCAAACAATAAATCAGTTTTAAAGATCATAGAAAAAAGGTTATTCAATCCTAATAAGATATATAGTAGATTCATACTCATGTTGCCAGGATATAAGGAACACATTAAAGTTTGTCACATAAAAAATTCATTTCTTAATAAAAAAAACAGAGATGAATGTCAAAAAAATAGATGATTTTCTTTTAGGTATGAAACTTAAAACCAAAAATTTTCAACCAAAAAACTGGAGATGAAAGAAACATATCTAAAGAAATATTCATTTTGAAAGAATATAATGTTTATTTTGTTATATTAAAATTATAACATTCATTAACGATCAACATAATGTTCACTCTTAAACAAATTAGTGTTCAATTTTAAGTGCTAATATAATATATCCTTCATATTTGGAAAATATAACTAGCCTAATTCAACATACCCACCTCAACCTCAAGAGTCTTCGTCTAAATCACATCATCCCATTTATGTTCACTGCTCTAAATCTCGAGGAGACATCTCCATCCACCACCGTCAATCGTTACCGTCGGTTTTGAGTCGGCCTCCCCTTCGATCGATGCATCTCCTTCAATCCAATTTCCGATCTCCCCTTTGTCACCGGTTCACCCCTATTCCTTCGATCTAATAGCCGGTTGTACCGTATAATTTGCAGATGCGATTTGGGAAGACAGACTAGTAAATAAATTAGGGGTAATTTAGGCAATTTATCCAAAAAACTTACTTTAAAAGAAAACATGTAATTTATTTTGAGATACACTAAAAAAAATAGATAATTTAAATTGGGATCAAAAGCTTGCATACTTAAATTTCAAAGCATCAAGTTTCTAAATTAATACTCCCTCCGTCCCAATTTAAATCGCCCGTTTTGACTTTTGGGCATATTTAAGGAAAATAAAAAATATAATTGATTTTTCAAAATTGACATTACTTTTTAAGAGAGGTGATGATAAATGAGAAGATAAGGTGAAAAAGAGTGACTAATTTTAAGGGTAGTTTAGGTATTTTATTTTTAAAAGTTTACAAAACAACTAACAGGTAATTTATTTTGGGACGAAGAAAAAAGGCAAACAGGCAATTTAAAATGGGACGGAGGGAGTATTAAACAATGTTTACTAGACTTAATATAGTTCAACAATATCAGCCTAGTGTATGAAACCTGAGGCTTGTCACTGATGAACTCTAAAGCGTTTGCAAACATGGCTGCAACTATGATCTCTTGCATAGAAATCCTTTCCATAGGTTGTAATTTCCTTTATTGTGGTTGTGAACAAAACAAACATGTTCTTGAATCGACTAGTGACTGGGGACTTATCTTAGAAATCCTCGCGTATTCAGCTCTTTGGCCTCGTTGGGTAATTGAAACATACATTTTGTCGAAGTGGGATAAATTTGATTTGAGAAAGTATGGAATGATTATTGAAGTACATTTCTACACGTAGCATCTTGCAGGACATTCTTGCATTAACTTCTCCTATGTTTATTTCCTTATCTTACAATTCTTTGCAGATTAAGGGTCCTTAACCTGCACTTCAAACACGAAAAAAAGGTCCTTAATCTGCCAACCTATCTTTCTTAAAGGTCATCTGGCAAGGCATTAAAGTACACAGATTATCCCATCATTCTGAGATGAGTAAATTCCATAATTGGTCCTTTATAACAAGGGGGTTTCCATATTTGGTCCTCTATTATCAAATATTACCCCCGTAGTCCTTTTTTTAAGGGTGTTTTTCCACAAATAGTCCTTTTTTTGATCTTCTACCATGTTGATGTTAATTTAAAGGCTAAAAGTATAATTTGACATCAACATTATGTCTAGTGACGTGTTCTAATATTGGTTAAGCGAATAACACAAAAATAATGACTATGATTGTGGGCTAGTATTCAGACGAAAGACCACATTTGTAGAATATGGTTGTAGTAGAAAGCGACTGTAATTCACAAACAATGCAAACGGAACAGTCTTTGGAAATGTGTATGACAAAAAAATATATTATCATTGTGAAATTACACTTTTAGCCCTCAAATTAACACCAACATGATTAAAGATCAAAAAAAGACTATTTATGAAAAGATAACCATAAAAGAAGGACCGCTGGGGTAATACTTGATAATAGAGGACTAAATAGGGAAACCCCCCTGTTATAAAGGACCCATTATGGAATTTACTCTTTTGAGATTCAGTACTTCAAAAAAAATGAAAGAGTCAGAGGGATAATATGAATCTACAATACTAGCTAAAAGTATTCGTGAAAAAGCAAGGTTGTACCCATACAAAAAGCAGTGTAGCTGAATTTCATTGACGCCTGCAGGTGACAAGCATAGCTGCGATCATAGGAAAATCATATTTATAGTTCAAAAACATTCTTATTTTTGTTACTTTCGAAACAACTAGTAGATACATTATTTCCATCTAGTTCTAAAGAAGGTGATTGAACTTTGTTTTGTACATGTCGAAAACCAAAACGCTCTAGAAAAATTGCAAAAGGAAATCTAGACAACGGTTTGAAAACAAAAATAGTCAAACTCAGAAAAATCGATGAAGGAAATTGATAGGTCAACATAATCGAGGACCAAATTAGTAAATAGAGCGTAGTGAAGGGACTATTTTGGTATTAACCCAAATGTGGGTCAATCAACCCAAGTAGCCGTAGCCATTAAAATAAATTAAAGCCTTTTGAGAATTAAACAATTAAATGCAACTCCCATTTCCCAAGGGTTTAAATAGAAGAACAGATCGTCTTCTCCATCTTCTCTGGGCGTTGATCCCAAGCCCACATTCCAACACAAGTATATCCTATCAATCTATCATCATATTTGCTTTTGTTCATATTTTCTCTGTAAACTGTTTCCTGTGTTCTTGTTTAGATTTTGTTCAGATTTATTTTATATAGACGATTTATTCTTGTTCTTGGTTTGACTTGATGTGGTAATTTTGAATCTTTTGGTTTTCTTTTACTCGATTGTACAAGTAGTCTTTATGTAATTCAAATTCAACAAAAGAAGCTTAATCTGAATTTCAATTTCGATTAGGAATGGTTGTAACCACCAGATCCCAAGCCAAGAAAGCTGAGAAGTTGGGCGTATCAGAATCAAAGTTTGAATCTGGAGAGATTAACGAGTACGAAGTGTTTTTAATTAATTCATTCATTAATAAGTAAATTCTTAGTTATTGATATGGATTTGGATTTTGTGAAGCAGGAAAACATGGCGAGACTGGATGACGAACTGGGCTGTAATGCATAAGGCCAGGGAACTTTGGATGTGAGTAGAGTAATTTAGTTAACATCTCATTGTGTTTCTTTTTCTTTCTGACGTTGTTTTACTTTACAGCCAAGAAATCTTCTGTGAAAAACAACGCGCGGAGAATCCAGCCTTGTTAAGAGTAAGTAGTCCAAACCACTTTTAGTTTACATTATCTATCGCCTTCAATATTTCGATCACTCATAATTCGTTTTGTTTGGTTTGTTGTCTTGTTCCATGAAATCAAAATAAAAAACATAATAGACACATAAGCTCAGATACGTTGCAAGAAGAGAATGGGATTCCATTGCTGATACTGTAAGTAATACTCAATCAATCTTAAGTATCTAGTACTCCATCTATCTCAAACCCCAAACCCAATACTCTCGAACACTTCAATTTCTCAATCTCAAATTTCAATTTCAGGAGAAAGCTCCCTTTATTACCAAGGCCTTGGATGCATTGGCTCCAGGCCCTGTACTAGCGGTAATGTGCTTTATTTTCTTATAGCCTATACTGTATTCTACTTTACTATACTTATATTGTTTGTTTCTGTGTACGGCTCGCCTTTGAAAAGTGTTTGTTTTGTGGGAAATTATGAGTGGGATATTATATTTGCCTTTTTTACTTTCTCCCATGTTTGTTAGGAGGGTTTGACATTTGGGTTAATGGAATTCCCATGGGAAGAGATGGTTTTTTGGTGTTGGGATTTAGTTTTTAAGTGAAACGACATAAACACACTTAATGAAACATAGAAGGATTCAGATTAAACTTGTAATGTTTTAAACCAATCTTTCATTTATTTCCATCCCTTACCAAATAATGACATGTACATTTTGTTCTCAAACATCCACCTCACCTCAAGTTTCACGTTCTTCGTTCCCACTTACCAGAATGTCACCCACATTCCTCCCGTAGAATGTCACCCTTACCAAACAATGACATGTACTATATGTTTTAAGTTACTATAGTAGTTTGTTGTCCAGTCTAGTGTATTCCTTCTCGAATCAAACTAGTTGTGAAATGCTTTCATGGTCTCCTGTGAGTATGACTTGTAAATGAACCTTTTTTTTTTTTTTTTTATCATTGCTCAGTTCATGATAGGATAGGAATTTATAACCTCTTTACAAGTTGATTTGAGATCAAATACATGGATGGGCAAATATACATACTCCTTCTATGAATGTATTGTTGGTTATTCCTGGGCGATTGCACACACCCGACCCTAACCCTTCACCACCATAACGATTTTGGATCCGTTTCTTTCTTCAACCACTCATTTTCCATATCAAACCTCACATTTTTGTTTGTGTGCAGGGGGCACTCACTAGGAAAGTTGTGAAGAAAACAAGCAAGCAAACAAGAGAGTCAGAATACTGTCATGCTTGTGCCAGTTTCAGGCAATATTTGTTTTACTTGAACCTTTCTTCTCCCCCCCGTCAGTGAGTCGTCGGTTTTGACATTGATCATATACATTTTTTGTGTAATATACATCACCAGGGAAGACTTCTACGGGAGTCACTTTATGACTCATTCAGACTACAAACTAGTAAGACACGTCCCTTTTTCCGACACACCCTTCTCTTCTTAGCATCAAATCAGGTTTTTAATTTCTTGACTTGTGATCAAAGACAGAGGAGGTCAGGGACGCTGCAAGCAGGACATGGGCTTCTTTGGATGAGGGTGTAAGTACTTTCGTCGAAAGCTAACACTTGGATAAAAATGCTGCAAGTTTCGGTCATATGTCTAGTTTTATTCTCTTTCAGGCCAGAGCTGCGTATTTTGCCGAGGGCAAGAAAAGGGAGGCTGATAGCGATGAGGTTTTCGAGTATCTTCAACACAACGAGACTTATAAGGCTCGACTCTTATCTTACATGTTTTAGTTGTCAAAACGAAGTTCTTATTGGTTCGTTTTCTAGATACGAAAATCAATGAAATATTTTTTTTGCACTCAAGCTCGTTTTCATTTTCTGGTTTTTTTATAAATATTTTTGCCCAATTCCCATAATCGCAACTCTTGTATGTATACATTAAATTAATTATGTGTCCCTTGTGTATGTTGTTGGTCATAGATACTCCGAGGCTTGAAACTAGGGCTTCAGACCTTTATTTTTTATATTTTCAATACATATTTTCTAAAATTAAATAAATAAAATTTTATTATTTAATTGTATTGAAACGAGAATAATTCACAAAAAATTACATTCATTAAATAAAAAAATTAAAAGGATATTCGGAATTTTAAAAGACAATAATTCATAAAAATTATATTCAATAGAAAAGAAAAATTAATAAGAAATACATTAATAAAAAACTAAGGTAAATTATATTTAGTCTTGATTTCTTTTTGTCTTATCTCGTAAAGCATACGTTTGAAGTCCGATAATGTATCAAGGTTGGTTTTCATTATTTCAATTTCTTCCTTCAACTGCCTTCGTTTCTCCCTCTCTTCTTTTCTAATATTGAACACCCGAAGTTGTTCCATCATTGCTCGACCGATATCGTCGTGAGAGAAAACAGAGTTAGACCCTTAAGAACCGACACAATGAATTTTTTCTTTTTTTCCAATCAGTCGTGGAATGAGATCCTCGTCATTGGAATTGTCTACGTTGAAGGGAGGCCTTTGTTCAGACGAACCGATTGTGCCATTGACCTCAACCTCGCCGGAGGATCTTTTCTTTGAGGAACCACCCTTGGGATTGTTGAGTTGTTGCCACATTGGTGAACGAATTAAAATTCTCCAAAGATCGACGGGAACTTGCCTTGGTGCCTGTTGTCTTGATATCGGGCAATGGCTTGCCGCAGAACAGCGATATCGTTCATCCCGCTCTTCCGGGACCGAGAGCATTCTTCATAAACTCCAATAAAGTTTCAGACTTTACGATTGTTGTGGCCCATTTGAAAGTGAGTTAGTTTCGGGTACGGTACGAGACGTCTTTGTTAATCGCAGCAAAGAATTTCTCCTCGATATGATCCACATCGCATCCTTCATTTGCTTGAAACCTTTAAAAAGTACATAACTTAATGAAAAAAAGTATTTTAACACAAATATATAAATAAGAATACAAATATATTTTAAAAAATAAATTTTACCAATGATAGGATGCTCGGAGACGTCAACCCTAGCCAACGCCAACAAGGATTCTTCATCCGACGTCCACTTTTGAATTGACCGTGCCGCCTCGGTCATCGGTTTGTCTCCTTTCGCTTTGTGACTTTTCCGGCACAAACTTTTTTTGGATTCATGTTGGTGCAATTGCTTCCGGCTGAGTCTCCGGAACTAACTCCGGGTCATCGAGGATCACGATGTTTGCGTTTCCAACAAAGACATATTATTCCTGTACGCTTCCAACAACGATGGATTATTTCCGTATGCTCGGAAGAACCACATCGCGTACTCGTTTGTTTCGAGACCGCGTGGAGAAGAACCACAAGGATTCATGATAAAAATAAATAAAATATTTGAATAATAATTTTTTAACGAGGGATTAATCCTAGAATCTATGAGAACTCTTTTATAAACCACAGTGCACCATAAATGTAGATCCTCTTTTGATTTTACATTTCTCTCATACTCAATTTTTTCTCATTGGTTGCACAATGCACATGATTTACAGGTCTAAATCAAAGTTTCAAGAATAAGATTCATGAAATACAATCTCATCCTGAATCTAATAACTTACCATCATAATTTTTTAAGACATTTTGGTGTTTTAAATTAAAAAAAGTTTTTTCTATTATAGTCAAACTTTGAAGTTGGAGAACCAAAATAGTCAAACTTGGAAGTTGGAACCATTTTTGTATTAACCCAAACTAGACTCGTACCCGTGCGTTACACGGATAAATTATTGACTAAAGTATCACCGAAAGTTTTGATGAAGGAAAATGAAAAAAATACTTAAAGATAAGATAATATAATATAATCCTAAAGAAAGAGAAATATATATTTACAAATAAACAATATTGATGGGAAGTAGTATAAGTTTTGAAAAATTTCTTTATAAACTACATTTATAGTTTGATTTGATAATGCAATGTCTTCATTGAAGATTAAGATCTTCAATTTAATCCTTTAAGATATGTGAAATTATCACATAAAATTGGACATGATTGAATATTGATTTCTTGAGTAACAGTCCAACATGAAACAAATATTACTTTTGACTTTTGCTAATCATCATTGCGTATAAAATAAAATATATTGTCATTTCTTATTTTGTTGAATTTTTGATATAATTTTTTAATATGTAATTTTTATTTTTTAATGATGTAATAATTTGTAAATAAAATGATTTCAAAAGATTCATCGTTTTACCTTGTAAATATCAACTTGTAGTCAAATTTAGAATGAAGAGGGTATTAAAAATTAGATATGTCTAACAATATTAATTGTATGATCTAGTAGTTGTTTATCATCACAAATTAGTATTTTAAAACCTCAAGAAGACCATTTAACGACGATGGTGTACTCAATTGAGTGCTTAGCTGAGTTGGTGAAAAAATGAATGTGTTTTGATATGTATCTAAGATACCGAATTTTTCAAAATATGTGCTTGATCAAGACAAAAAAGAGTTTAGAATTCAATAATGAAGATATAGAGTTTCAAAGAAATTGTTTCTTATCTTGTAAATGTTACCGACATCAATCTATTCAATCTCAAATTTTTTTCTCTCCCATTTTAAAATATTTATCTGAGAAATGATATTTGCACATAAAAAATTATACCTACTTCGTATTCGAAGACATGCACCAACATTTTGTGCTAGAATGATGTTTTACAATGATATAAAATGTCAGCACAATTTGTTTTTATTGAACTAACATTTTGTACCCGTGTGAATCGTTAAAATGCTAGTATATCTTTTTGGAGTACAATTTGAAGTACATCCGTACATTTCTTGGTATACCACTAGTATGATTGTATTTTTTTGGATCTAATATGAATAGTAAAAATGGAATATTTTTACCATAATTATTATTCTACGCTAATTAGAATTCTGTATGTATTCTTTAAAACCTTTATATATGTATATATTATTATTATTATATATTGATGTAATATTTATTATTTTTTGAGAATAATAATTTTTATTATTTAATAGGATTAATTGTTATCATATTGTATGAGCATCATCCACATATTTCTCCTCTATTCTACCCCAATTTAATCTCCTCTTCTCACGTTCTTCTTATTTTTCTATTTTTTTCATATACCATCGCAAATCCTTTTCTTCTATTTCTTCTGATTTATTTACAAAAATAGAATTTGTTTGATTATTTTTTCCTCAACTTATTTTTTTTACTTATTACTTGTTCTTAATGGAATTAGATTAGATCAGAAATAATTTTAAATATAACTACATTCAAATTAGACCAGATTAGTTTAGATCATAATTTATTCCAATTGTCTATATACATACACATACACGCACACATACATATATATACTGAATCAATTTTATTACTCTCACCTTCTCAAGTTAAATTGTTTATTATTTATATTATCAAACTTTAATCATGTTTTTACTCATTTTTGTTATTTATTTGATACAGTAAAATAAGTTTCGTTTTGCCACCTCTTGTTTTGTAAAAATTTTTTTATTTAATTTTTAAATAGAAAATGTTTATTTTATAATTCTATACAAATTTTCAATAAATTGAATAAAAAATAATTTCAATTAACTTTGTAAAAAATTGATTGAAAAAAGTATTCTGTCTTAATTTAAATGTCTTGTTTACTATTTGATAAAGTAATTTCATATCTTGATTTATAGAACTTTTAATATAATTTTTAATTTACATATATAATCATTATTGTTTAATTTTACATCAATTTATAAATAAAAATAAGTTTAATAAAATATTGTGATCCAACTGACCTGGCAAATCGGTCGGTCAGGTCGGGTTCGGGTTCGATCACCATGGGTTCGGGTTACTTCGGGTTCGGATATGTTCGGGTTCGGGTTGATAACTACATGTTCATGACCCAGTGTCATCGGGTTCGGGTTGACCCAACGGGTTATGAGTTTCATTTATTTTTTTGAAATTTTAAGTAATTTTTATGACTTAGTGTCAACATTACGAATAAAAAAATTATAAATGTAGAAATTTTGAAAAAATGTACGATAATTATGTGACATCATTAAAATTTGTTATGATGGTATAAATCTATACACAAAAAATGAGTAGTAAGCAAAGAAATATAATTATAATCTTATTTTTATAACACTATATTTCATATTAAAATGTACGATTCTGAAAAAATCTTAGATTAGCGGTCGGTCAGGTCGGGTTCGGGTTCGGTCGGGTTTGCCCCATTTTTAGCGGGTCATTTCGGGTTCGGTCAACTTCGGGTTCGGTCAGCAAAACCTTTGTTCAAAACCCTGTATTTTCGGGTCGGGTCTCGGATCAAAAACAAGTCGGGTCATTTTTTGCCAATCCAAGTAAATAATTTAAATTAGTAAGTACTCCATAATTGGTGGAATAGGAAGGATTAGATAAATGGTCCTGCCCTAACCGGATGAGCCCATCTACCCGGCTCCCAATTATCCCAATTCCCCATTCTCTGCCGTCTGCACCGCTTCTCATCTTTTCTCCATAGCGTCGATCTAAAAGCTCTATTCTATGATATCGGATGGGATGTAGAGATGGTGGTCGTCTCCTATGTTCATGCCGTTTCTCTCAGGTAACCCTTTCTCTCGAATCTGCGAGGATTTAACATAGAAAATCTTTTAATTTTCTAGTCGATTTTTGAAAACAATCAATCCATACATCATTTGAACTATTTTCTCATGTGAATCGAAGTTTTTAACTTTGGGCTAAAATATAAGATTTAGTCTTAAAATGCTCAGATCTTAAAAAAATTAGACATCAAAACATAACGCTTGAATCTGAATCTTAAAAAAATTAGACATCAAAATATAACGCTCAGATCTTATGATTTAATAGCATTTTCTTTAAGGTCCTTAAAACACGTTTATTGTTTGAAAGGTATTTTTGTTTTAATGGATTGCATTTGCTTGTGTTTTAGTTTTTTTTATTCTATTTTGAAATTCCGTTTTCAATCTACTGAGGTATTTTTACATGCAAAGCACAATTTTTTCCTAAAAATGTTTCAATTATAAAAGTGGTGTAGATTTGTTTGAGAATGGAAATTAAATTAGCAGATCAAATATAAATAATCTTCACACTAAAGGTAATGACTCTTGGTTTCAATTCATGAAACTCCTGGTTTCAATTCACGAACTTTTTGCGTGTCTTTGTTCAATTTTTTTCATCCATTTTGTATGTATTTTTTTCCAAACGGAATGGGAATGAACCAACATGAAAGATATCATGACCATTAATTCAATCTTTTTCTGTTTTAGCAATCCCGTAAGTCAAGTTTCATCCTTGTAACCTTAGACATTGTGATTCAACCTCTTGTGTTTTTCTTTTTTGTTATGATTTTATTTTCTCAAGCGCTTTCTCAAATCTAAACCCTTTCTCAAACCATTAAAGCATTAAACTATCTCTGAAACTTATATTGCAAAAAAATTGTATATATTTGAAAACTTGAAATCATTTTGTTTAAATTCTAAGAGAAGTTGTTTTTTAATTTGCGAAAGGAGTCTTAGAATCATACTCTTTCAAAACTTAAAATTATGTTTTTGAAACTTTAAAAGCAGACTTTTCAACAATAAAAGAAGCAGTATTTGAAACATGCTCAAAAAAGTGAATTACCATTTTTAATCCAAGTTGTCTCACCACTCACTTCAGCTATGCGCAGTTAATAATAAGATTTGACACAAATGTAAGAAAAGATTTGCACAATCTTTCAATAAATGCTGTTTTCAAATAAATGAGTCTACTTTTGTGAAAATATACTCAATAAAGCAACATCACACTTACCCAAAAGCATTCCAACTCTTCCCAAGAAATCTACTCACATTACCCAAGAAATTTGCCAAATAAAAATGACCAATTTTTGGCCCACGGACAACAGCCCATTACCACAGATCCGGCCCAACACTTTTGGCGGGAACACTGTAGAAAAATGCATCACACCATTGTATAGATAAAGATAAAGATGTCTGTCAATTAGCCCAAGTAGCCGTAGCCATTAAAATAAATTGAAGCCTCTCAGATTTAAAAACGCAACTCCCAATCGTTTTAAATCTAAGCGCAGATCATCGTCTTCTCCGTCTTCTCTGTAATTCGATCTCAAGCCGACATTCCAACTCAAGTATATCCTATCGATCTATCATTACATTTTTCATATTTTCTCTTTAAACTGTTTTCTTTGTTGTTGTTTCGATTTTGTTCAAATTTATTTCACTTCGATGGTTTATATTCTTGTTCTTGGTTTGAATTGATGTGGTAATTTTGAAACTTTTGTTTCTGTTTTACTGAATTGTACAATTAGTATTATATGTAATTCAAATCCAGAACCCTAATACTTGTAAATCGTATTCATTTCTGTCTCAAACAAAAGAAGCTTAATCTGAATTCTGGTTTCGATTAGGAATGGTTGTAACCACCAGATCACAAGCTAAGAAAGCTGACAAGTCGGGCATATCAGAATCAAAGTCTGAATCTGGAGAGATCAACGAGTAAGAAATGTTTTTAATTAATTAATTAATATAGATTTGGTTCTTAGTTATTGATATGGATTTGGATTTTGTGAAACAGGAAAACCTGGGGAGATTGGATGACGAACAGGGTTGTAATGGATAAGGCCAGGGAACTTTGGCTGTGAGTAGAGTAATTTAGTTAACTTCTCATTGTGTTTCTTTTTCTTTCTGACGTTGAATCACTTTACAGCAAAGAAATCTTTCGCAAAAAACTATGTGCGGAGAATCCAGCCTTGTCAGGAGTAAGCATTTAGATTATCCGTCCTCTTTTGATACATCGATCAATCATAATTCGTTTCGTTTGGTTTGTTGTCTTGTTCCATCAAATCAAAATTAAAATCATTATAGTCAAATAGGCTCAGGTACGTTGCCAAAAGAGAATGGGATTCCGTCACGGATACGGTAAGTAGTAGTCGCTCAATCTTAAGTATCTGGTACTCCATCTATCTCAAACCTCAAAACCAATGCTCTGGAATACTTCAATCTCTCAATCTCAATTTTCAATTTCAGGACAAAGCTCACTTTATTACCAAGGCCTTGGATTGGCTCCAGGCTTTGTACTAGCGGTGATGTGCTTTATTTTCTTATAGCCTATACTGTGTTCTACTTTACTATACTTATATTGGTTGTTTCTTTGTATGGCTTGCCTTTGAAGAGTCTTTGTTTTGCGAGAAACTGTGAGTGGGAATGAATATAGGGATTGGTATTTGGTTTTTACTTTCTTCCATGTTTGTTTAGGAGGGTTTGACATTTTGGTGAATGGAATTCCCATGGGAAGAGATAGTATTTTGGGGTTGGGATTTAGTTTTTGAGTGAAATGACATAAACACGCTTACACTATGTTTGGTTCAAGGAATTTAATAGGGAAAAGAAAAGAGAATGAGGTGGAAAACATTTTCTCTTGTTTGGTTAGAGAGGAAAAGAAAAGAAAAAGTGGAAGGAAAATGAAATGAGAACGCAAAATGTCTTAAGAGGAGAGAAAACTAAATTCCTCCCGTTTTGGTGAGGAAAATGAGAGAAAACGGTTTGCTTTTCTTTTCCTTCTGAACTCCTTAAACCAAACATAGTGTTAATGAAATATAAAAGGAGTAAGTTTAAGATTTAAGATTACAAGAAAATGCAATTTTGTGATGTTTTTAACCCATCTTTCATCTATTTCCATCCCTTACCAAACTAGGACATGTACATTTTGTTCTCAAACATCCACCCAAATTAACCAGAATTTCACCCACGTTGTCACCTCTCCTTTCAAATAATGGTATGGTGTACTCGTATGTTTTAAGTTACTATAGCTGTTAGTTGTCCAGTCCAGTGTATTCAATTCTTCTTGAAACAAGCTAGCTGTGAAATGCTTCCATATCAATTCTCACATTGCTTTTTTGTGCAGAGAGCACTATCTACTAGGAAAGTTGCGAGGAAAACAAGCAAACACACAAGAGAGTCGGTATACAGTCATGCTTGTCTCAGTTTCAGGTAATATATGTTTTACTTGAACCTTTCTTTTTCCCCCCTTGCTCAGTCAATCGTAGGTTTTGATTGTGATCATATACGTTTTTTTGTGTAAAATACATCACCAGGGATGACTACTATGATAATTACTTTATGACGCATCCAGACGAGTACATACTAGTAAAGATCCATACCTTTTTTCTACACAACCTTCTCTTCTTAGCATCAAATCATTTTTTTTAATTCCTTTGTTTACTTCTGATCAAAGACACCGGAGGTCATGAGGGGTGCAGACAGAGCATGGCCTTCTTTGGCTGATGGGGTAAGTAATTTTGTCTAAAACTTGCACTCAGATAAATATGCTCCAAGTTTGTTATATGTCTGGTTTTGTTGGCTTTAGGTCAAAGCTGCATATTTTGTTGAGGCCAAGAAAAGACTGGCTGATGGTGATGAAGTTTGCTATTATATTCAGCACAACCAGGCCTATATGGATCAATTGTATACTTACATGCTTTAGTTGTCAAAAAGAGGTCCTCATTGGTTCAATTTCATGATATTTTTTTATATTCTTCCCACAAAAATAAGGTTTAATGAAATTACCTTACTAATAAAAATTATAATTTTTGGCATTATTTCCATTGATTAAATTATACACACACACACACGGTAATAGAACATATGACAAATTATCATTTTTATTCTACGCCATAATATGTTTTAATTACCATCCATCTTTATCACTAACATATGCAAAGTACCATTTCAACATTTAACACTTACCATTTGTGTCATGCACGTATCGGTGGGAAAACGCAAGCAAAGATTTCTCTCTTTTTAACTATGGTGTAGATTTACGCATGAAAAAAGCCTTTACATTTTTTTAAAAATTTTTAAATCTTCGGGCCAAGTAAACTAGTCAAATACCAATATACTCCTGAAAAATTACCAAAAAAAAGGAAAAGATCAATCAAAGTGTATCAGAAATTCAAAACCAAAATAGTCAACTGGGAAAAATCGAGCAACCAAATTGATATGTTCTTTGTTCTTGTTCTTGAATATCAAGTAAATTGCAGGACCATATGTTTATCAGTCTATATACTAAAACTTACTATTCTGTGGACTCATTGAGAGTATTGATAAACTAATTACTCGGTATTATTGATCCATTCGGGGCAGATCAATCCGGTCACATATTATTAAAATATAATATGCACCTAGGTACAAATTAGGATATACAATATCTATAGTCTGTGAGACGCAACAATCTAATCTCGTATGTACTAGTTTTGGTACGTTATGACATTCTTATAGTCATGAGCGCGATGAAAGATAATGTTTTATTTATATTTAACCTTCATCAAATAATAACAATCTCATAATCGAAGCATCATAGTCCTCATCTATGTTACTAAAGCGTTATAGCATATGGACTGAAACTATGTTAAACTACACGAGGTATAAACATACTTTATGGCCTTCATTCATGATAAAGTGTAAAATGACACATCTATTTGTTTACCATCGGGGTACCTAAATACAATACAAATTTAAAAGATTATAAATGGCAAGAATAAAAAATAAGGAGTATACATTTAAAAAATAATTATTTCTAATTCATGCGATATTAGACTATTAATAATTGTAATAATAATAATAATAATCATAATAAAATGTTAAATGATGGAAAACACAATACAGGATATTTTGTAGTTTGTATATGATAAGACCAAATACATAAATAGATATTCGAAATATTCTGTAATTAAGGTCAAACAATTTGATTAGTGATTATCAATTTTATAAAGCAAGTTTTTGTATCACTGTCTCACATTGATTCAAATTTACCTAGGAGTAATAAAGAGTATTATCAAATCTTATTTTTTGAACACAAAAGCTCTAAGATTTCGTTTAGTGCACGAAATTCAAACTATAAAATTGGAGACAATCCAATTCTATTACTCCGTATTTGTTAGCACAAAATATACTCCCTCCGTCCTAAAATTAATTTCTCAGTTTGACTTTTGTAGTCAAACTTATTAAACTTTGACCGTATATTACGAAAAAAATACATTGAATTTTAATATAAATTTATTAGCAATAGATTCATTTTGAAACATAGTTTTGAAATACATAATTTTTATAAAATATATTTATATAGAAATTGAGATATTGATGGTCAAAGTATCGCATTGGAGACAGTGAAAAGTTAAATGGGAAGTTAAATTTAGGACGGAGTATATAGATTTGAAATAAATTGTGCAAGAATTGAGAATGGCGGTGGTCATACTGTGCTCCCGTGTGGCAACCGCGACAATGGCGGTGGTCATCTGTCCGGAGGGCCATGAACAAACATCCAAGTCGAGCTCAATAAAAAGTCACTTCTCAAAGCATAGTATTCAAAGCTTAGTATTGCTTGCCTAATGATGTTATGCAACTCCATCAGGTTTCTGCCGTCAAGCTTGCGATCGCCGATCCGGCGGAATTCCCGTCGTCTGATCAGCACCCTCGCTAGCGTCTCTTCTCCCCCGCCATCTCCGCAGCTGCTCTCGAATTTCCCGCGCCTCTCTCTCCTTGCCGACAAATGTACCTCTATGTGCCAATTGAAAGAGATACATGCCCTAATGATCACCACCGGCCGTATCCATGACAACTACGCCGCCAGCCGGTTATTTTCCTCCGCCGCTCTTTCTCACGCCGTCGACCTTAATTACGCGCTGGAAATTTTCGGAAGTATTCTAGAGCCGAACTCATTCATGTGGAACACCCTCATTAGAGCCATAGCAAGCAGCTCGGAACCACAAGAAGCGTTTTTTCTCTATGTTATGATGCGCAGGGCCGGAGTTACACCGGGTAAACACACATTCCCTTTTTTGCTCAAAGCTTGTTCCAACACGAAGAAATTTTGCGTCACTCAACAGGTCCATACCCAGGTGTTCAAGTTCGGGTTGCATTTGAATTTGCATTCAGCTAATGGATTGATTCGTGCGTACTCTGTGACTGCTGGTTTGGACCATGCCCGGAAGCTGTTTGATGAATTTCCAGAGAAAGGAACAACAATATGGACAACGATGGTGTGTGGGTATGCTCAAAATGATGAATCCGGGAATGCGATTAAGTTGTTCGAGCAAATGGTTGATAATGGAGTGGAGCCCAATGGGGCCACTCTGGCATCTGTGCTATCGGCTTGTGCACAGGCTGGTTGTTTGGAAATGGGGAAGGAAGTTCATGTATATATGGTGGAGAGAGGGATGGAAATGGGAGTGATTTTAGGTACTGCATTGGTAAACATGTATGCAAAGAATGGAGCGATAGTTGAAGCTACAACATGTTTCTTTAGTATGAGGGAAAAGAACATTGCAACTTGGAATGCAATGATCAGTGGGTTGGCAGCTCATGGACATGCCAAAGAAGCAATTAACTTGTTCAAGAAGCTAGTGGTGGAGAAACATTTGAAGCCAAATGATATTACATTAGTAGGGGTATTATCTGCCTGTTGCCATGCCGGATTCTTGGGTTATGGTCGTAAAGTCTTCAACTCCATGAAACAATTGTATGGCATAGAGCCCAAACTAGAACACTACTGCTGCATGGTCGACCTTCTAGGCCGATGTGGAAAGCTCTTGGAAGCCGAGCAGTTGATCAGAAGAATGGTTTGGCCGGCTGATGTGGTCATCTGGGGATCCCTGCTAAGATCCTGCCAGAGCCAAGGGAATATACAAATTGCAGAAAGGGTGGTTAAAGAGATTCTTCGTTTGGACCCCAACAATCATGGTGTTTATGTTGGTTTATCCAATATGTATGCAGAGTGTGGAAGATGGGATGATGTTTTACGGATACGGGAGGAAATGAAACAAGGCAGCCTGAAGAAAACATCTGGATGGAGTTATGTAAATAAGTAAAGGGTTGTTTATGATTTGTTGTCTGAACCGAGTTGCGGCACTCTTTTCTTGGGATTATCCCAAGACTTTCATCTGAACAATCATTGTGTTACTTCTAATGTGTTCTAAAGTGGTTTGCTATGAATGAAAGAAGAAACTTACAACCTCCAATCTCACGAAAGCAATGGGGAGATCTTCTGGTGCCGTCAGTAGGTCATAGAGCCGTCAGCAGCACCAGAGAGGCTTCTTCCTATCCTCTAGGCTTATGAAATGGGTGAGTCTTCTTCCTTAAATTGTTCTTCCTCCTTAAATCGTTCATCCCTTTAAGTGAAATGCTTGATTTTTGCCTGAGTGATCTCTAGCATTAGGGTTGAATTGCAGTCGCCACTATAATAGGTGGATGAGATGGCTGTGGTTGTATTCCATACTCTGGTATTTCAGATTCATCAAAAGAGGCTGCTGCATCTGTTAATTGCAAAACCTTAACTTTTGAGAGTGAGCTATAAATCAATGTTAGATTCATATTTATCTCAGGATTTTTATTACACAATGGAATAACATAAGATCTCTCTTTCTACTGGTTATTTGTATTAGGATAGGTGTATCTTAAAAATATCACATTTTCCCCATTGGATGAGCCTTTGCATCTTTAAAAGGCTATCTAGTTTTGCTCTAGTGTTTTCAAAGTAAATTTGCACCGTTATAAAATTATCTAAACCGCTAATGCTAATTAAAAACGATGTTCCCAAATAAGGGCTTAGTTAGCAACACAAAATGCTGCGTTAGTGTTTAGTTAAATAATTTGTAATGTACCGCACTTAATTTGTTCTATTTTGTTTGTATTCACTATTCGTTCAACCGTCAAACTTGCTCTCATTTTATTTACTTGAGATTTTATTTTTTGTATGCTATACTCCCCCTTCCCCTTATTATATGGCACATCTTTGTCTTTCACTCAAACTAAGGAAATTATTAAAGGAAAATGGAGTAATCTTCACTTTCCTAGTATACATTTTATGGGGAATATGTGATTTAGTTTACATGAGAGAGACTTTTGAAACGAAAGAGAAAAAAATGTACATTACTAATACAAAAGTGACATTTAGGACCACTCTAATTAGTAGGATCAGAGGGAGCAATAAATTGGCACTTCTGCTATGATCATAAATCATTCCTAATATTGTGATTTAATTTTTTTTATATCTTATGATGAATTGTGCTCACATTTCATCTGTTACTAAATGTAGGCAAGCTCTAGAGCTGGGGAATATGCAACGTTTCTAATACAACGATGTTAGTTAATCGCTCTTCTGGAACCAAGAACAAACTATGGAGTATAACAAGAACTCAAAGAACAGTCAGAAGGCAAGTGAAGGGATTAGGCTTTCTATAGGACTGATGCATTAAGTGGCTCAACAAATAGGGCTGAATGGAAGCCATATGAGGAGGCCTTGGGCAGGGCACATGGAAGGACTGCATCTCCTGGAGGATTTTGTATAGATGTCACTAGTGACTAGACTTTTAAATTTGCATCTTTATACTTTTTAACTTTTCTTAATGTTCGTATCAAGTCAAACCGGAAAAGAAATTTTTGGACAGAGAATTTTTTTGTATATTTTTTCAAAAACAAAAATGTTAAAAATGAGGCATGTAGGCCTATTCTACTCTATCTATGCAGAAAATTACTCATGGGTGACGTGCAGGTTTTGTCGAAATAACTCTCAGGTCTTTTTATTTTCAAGAAAACTACAGAGGTTCTTACATTTTGTTGTAATGACTGTGAAGAGACATTTTATTCAATATTTCATCCATAAACCTTAATAAATGTGTTTTTCCTTAATGTTTTATAGTAATAACTCTTGAGTCGCTATTCTTTTTTTTTTATTTTTCTTTTTTTTGTTACTCTCTTTTGAAGTGCTATTTCAGAGTTTCTTCTATAAAATCTTTTGAAATTTCAATAGAAACTCCTCAAGATTCTTTTTTAATACTTTGTATCGAATATTGAAAAAAGAGATATAATTTTCTTTTTTGATAAGATCCTTATTACATTTATTTTTATATCATGCAAAATTTAAATTTTTGAAACTATTTTCAAGAAGGTTTTAAAAAAATATTTATGGAAATTGGAAACAAAGGAAAAAAAGAGACAAAAAAAGGAAATAAAGATATTAAAATGAGGGATCTAAAAGCTACGGAGTATTATCATAAAATGTTAATGGAAAAATATGAAAAAAATGCATTCATTAATACTTATGGATGAAATTTAGATGAAATGTTTCTACCAAACATTACAATAAAACATAAAAAAAACTATGATATCTTCTTGAAAATATAAGAATGTGAGAGTTATTTTGATAAAAGTGGTTTCACCACCACTAATTTTTTGCAATCTATGGGTCAAATGGAACAAACCCACACACGTGGTCGTCTTCAACCTCCGTATGTTCCTTCCATACACCGCAAAATACATTAGTACTGTAGCAAATACTGGAGCTCAGTTGCCATACGGGTTTGAAGAATTGTCAGCTCTCCATAGCTAATGGTATTCCCAGCCAACAGTTTCTAACTTCCAGCAGAAACGAATTACCGACGGCCCGGCCGGAACGAACTCGCCGGCGGCGTGGACTTCCGTCGATTGATACCTCAAATGCTGGTTCTTCCTCCCGGGAATTATCTACAGGCTCACCAGTCTAGAACCCTCCTGAAACCTCCACCCCTAATTTTCCTCTCATTTCCATGGCCGACATCTCAGAACCCTAAAGTTGCCGGCAGAGTCCAAATTCGCCGCCTCTCTCCTTCTTCAGCAGCGGCCTCCTCAGCTGATGCCCAGTCTGTTTCTCAATCTGCCATTGAAAGAATAGCCGAAAAGCTTCGCAGTCTCGGGTATGTAGAAGAAGATGGCAATAAAGAGAAACCAGAAGGAATTCTCCGGCCAAGGGTGAATTCGGCTTCTCCAGGTCAAATTTTCATCCCTTTGCCCACTCAACTGCCCAAGTACCGGGTTGGGCATACCCTCGACCCGAGTTGGAGCACGCCTCAGAATCCGGTACCCCTGCCCGGGTCAGGGAATGCTATACAGAGATTCCATGATTTGAGGAATGAGGTGAAGAAGGCACATTTGGAAGAGAGGGAGAAGGGTAAAGATGAGAAGAAAGAGAGAGTGCCTACTTCAGCTGAGCTAACTTTGCCTGCAAAGGAGCTCAGTAGGCTGAGGACACTAGGGATTAGGCTGAAGCAGAAGATAAACATAGGGAAGCCCGGGATTACAGAGGGCATTGTTAATAGCATTCATGAAAGATGGAGACGGTCCGAGCTTGTAAAGATAAAATGTGAAGACTTGTGCAAGATGAATATGAAGAGAACTCATGATATTTTGGAGGTTAGGGCTGTACTTGTTCATCTAGTTATTTGCAGTACTTTTTAATGATGGAACATGTGCCATTTTGTTACTTAAGACGTGTTTAGTCATGTTGGCTAGAGAGATGCGATGTCACGTGTGAGGAGTGTGGAGAGCAATTTGGTGGAGGGGACGAGAATGAGAGACGAGCCATGGAGGACGTGGTCTGAGCAGAGGCTGGATATAACAGCCTCTTTTAATGATGCTGTTCAAATATTCACTTCAGATGTCTTTTTTTTTCTTACTCGAAAATATTGCAAAAATCTTCAAATAGAATTCTCAAGCATTTTCATTATTTGGACATTTTTCAAAACTTTACTATTTTTTGGGATATAGATTTTCTAGAGTTCTCAAGAATTTTCAAGTACTATAAGAGTCTTCAAATAGATTTCTCATGAATTTTAATTGCCTTACATTTTTCAAAACTTCACAAATAGATATAAGGTGCATAAATTTCTCCCTCCCAAACCCTACTTCTAATTGGGATATAATGAATATGTTTGGTTTGATTTGATGTGCTCTACTATGGTATTCATCTTGTGAGTCCTCTGGAATTTCCCAGGCAAAAACAGGAGGCTTGGTTATTTGGAGATCAGGAAGTACTATAGTATTGTACAGAGGAACTGATTATGAATACCCCTACTTCGTTAATGACAACGCTTCAAATGGTGATGCTTTGACTGACGTTTCTGCTGATAAACTCATAGACCATGGAGCAGGCAATGGAGTCTCTTCTCCTACTCTGATAAAGGGGGTAGGCTCTCCAAATATAGTAAGATTTGAACTACCCGGTGAGGCAGAACTTGTTGAAGAAGCTGACCAGATGTTAGAAGGACTTGGGCCACGTTATACTGATTGGTGGGGGTATCATCCATTACCCGTAGATGCTGATCTTTTGCCAGATATCGTCCCTGGATATAAGAGACCTTTCCGCCTTCTTCCATATGGAGTGAAACCTATTTTAACAAATGATGAAATGACAACATTAAAGAGACTTGCTCGGCCAGTGCGGTGTCATTTTGCTTTAGGTGAGTACGTATTTGCTTCAATGCTATTGATTACTCTTTGACACAGAAGCACCTCTTTTTTAAATATGACTTCTCATGTTTCTGAGGCAGGCAAGAATAGGAATCTTCAAGGATTGGCTTCTGCCATTGTGAAGCTATGGGAGAAATGTGAAATTGCAAAAGTCGCTGTAAAAAGAGGAGTTCAAAACATGAATAGCAAGTTGATGGCTGAAGAGCTGAAGGTATGTGAGATTGGCTATATATTTTAAAAAATGTTTTCTTATGATGAGCAAAACATTTATCTAGTGGTAAACTTCTTTCGAGGCACATTGCTGTAGAGCTTTGCATTAGTGCTTGTTTGGTTGGGAGATTTGAGGGTGAGGGTAGGAGGATGATTTATTTATTTATTTTACCAATTCATCTCTTTTTTGTAAGTATCGGTCTTAGACTAGAGAAAACTCTACTTTAGGTTCAATCATGTATTTCTATCAAACTATTCATCTTCACTTTCTTCCCAACTATCTCAACATAAGAACATAAATTCATAATATAAAAAGCACGTTTCACCTTCACCTCAATATAATACCATCTGGAATCTCCCAGCCAAGCAAGGCCTTAGAGTTCTTACAATATTTTTTTAAGTAATGACACAATAAACATATTGCAGCATCTGACAGGGGGAATCTTGCTGGCCAGGGATAAGGACTACATTACCCTGTATAGAGGTAAGGATTTTTTGCCTGCTGCAGTTTCCTCGGCAATAGAAGAGCGAAGAATGCAAACAACTAGAGAAAAACACACACAAAACGGCAATTCATCTGTGGTTGATGCCAAAGAACAAACTCAAACAATTATAGAATCCGCTTCCTTTGATCATAATGCTTGTGTGAATATCAAGAGAGCAGTCCAAGAAAAAAAATTCTTAAGTTTGAGGGAAGAAGCTGCACAGTCTAGCACGGAATTTTCCTGCAATGTTCAGAATACGGAGAAACTTAACAAGAAAGTTGTCGTGCAAAAAAGACTAATAAGTTCAGTGGAAGCCGCTATTAAAAGAACTGTAGACAAACTCGAAGCTGTATGTAATTATAGCTGTCATTCCTACTCTTGTATATTATTACCTGCATCTCAGCTCTCAAGCAATAACTATTTCAATGCTAGGCACTAGAAAAGAAAGCTAAGACAGAAAAACTTATAGAGGAGCTAGATATGGAAGAAATATCTGTACCGTCTGATGCTGATAAGGAAGGTATAACTAAAGAAGAAAGATGTATGCTCCGCAGGGTTGGCTTGAGAATGAAGCCTTTCTTACTCCTAGGTCAGTGATTTTTCCCTATATTTAGGGCTTGTTTGGTTGGGGGATTCTGGAGGGGAGGGAAGGGAAAGATTGATTTTTGTTTTACCAATTTAAATTTAAATGTTTGTCTTTTAAAATGACTATACGTTTAGTTGAATAATGTATTTTTATATGATTTTTCATTTTCACTTTCTTTCATGCCAACTTAATATAAGAACAAATTACTTATCTATCCCCAAAAAAGAGTCTTGTTTGAGTAAGGTGGTTTTCTATTTTTAGTCAACTCAGCAAGTTACTAACTACTAGCTTTTATGAGTTACAAATGGTCACTTATACCTCCAAACCTTTTTTGATTAGAGTCATTGGCTAAAACTGCTTGCCACTTGGCCTTGCGAGAATTTTACTTTGAAATAAAAGTTCTTTAAAACTGGACTCTTTTTTTGGGGGGAAAAATCTTTTGAAGCCCTTTTTTTGGGAAGGAGAAAGTAATTAAATAAATATCACCTTCATGCCTCATGCAGTCCTTGTCCTGCCCGAAATCTGCCAAGCAAACAAGGGCTATACTTGCTTACCA